CGCATGCACACTGCAGAACAACTGAAGGCTTATAACGGATTTCATGCAATGGAAAGGAAAATTCGAGAGAGAACGTACTTTTGTCGGTACTTGATGACATACTCTATTGCCGGTTCAGCCAACGTCGGAGCCTCCCAGGTCAAGGTGACGCTGTCACTTGTGACCGAAGAGACTTTGAAGTTCCGAGGAGGTGGGGGAAGAGCTGAACAACTTGTTGTTTCGGAAAACCCTTTAGCAGATTAAGGGGGTGGGAGACGAAAACTGACCTTTCACTTCGACCAATGTCGTCGCTTCGATGTTTCCAAGTTTACTGACGGCGACACAGGTGAAATTCTCCGACTGTTCGATGTTTGTTAGTGTGAGCACGTTTTTCCCTATCGGTGCCATTGCCGGATCACTCAGTACAACTGAAAGAAGATAATGCACAATAGCGATCGACAAAGGGAGGGTCTGTTTGACTAATTGTTATTGTTAGGCCCTTTTAGAACTGCTTCTCCCCAAATTTCACGAAACTGACATTATACTTTGGAGCATTAGATGAATATGGCTTGCTTTCTTCAAATTTACCAGCAAATAATATTTTTCTCGCAATCTCTCAAAAACCCTTAAATTTCCCTTTTAGCTGCATATTCTTTATTCATATTTTTAGCTTTATCGTTCAAGTGTTTTTCATATATGGTACTCTTCCCGTGATTGTGCTCACCTTTGAGTGTATTGAAATAAATAAATAAATAAATAAACAAATAAATAATAAATATTACCCGTCATCTGTCTTTATGTGTATGATCCCAAGAAAAGTCCAAGTATGGGCTGCGTAACCGCACGGAAAGCGATTGCCGTTTGCGAAGCAGAAGGAGCTAGTCTCATTGAGAGATTTAGTATGAAAATTTCGGATAAAGCAGGAAAGAAGATTTTTAAGATCGCGAGAGAATTCGCATAAGTTCCTCTTCAGGTATCTTCTGTTAAAGCTTATTGTTGGAGTTGGGAAACGTGTGGTTGGCCATGGTAGGATTACCAGGCATGCCGAGATTCCAAAAACTAACGACAATTAGGCCCGAAGGGGAAGTGGTTCAAACGGGGACTCTCTCCATAGGAAAGGAGTCGTACTGAATCGAAATTCGTCCATGCAATGATTGACTCTTGCGTGCTCTACAGGAAGTTATTGCTAGTTATATTAAGTTGATTCCCACGCAGGGTCAAGCGTCACTTTCGCACTTTTCAGAAATTTTGCGAGCGCCGCGCGCGGGGGGGGGCACCATCAACATCATGTCCCATGATATTTTTTCTGAGACCGTCGCGCCTAACTCCCCACTTTTTCTCCAGAATGCATTTGGCGGGTACCGGAGCGCATCTTGATATCCCTACTATATATATAAACGCTATGTCTGTCTGTTTGTGTGTGTGTGTGTGTGTGCGTGTGTCACGAAATTCATAGCACGCGTCGCAGCAGTCGTTAGGAGCTGATTTTTTGATATGATATAGGGGGTGGACGGGAACATATTTGGTGGGGGTCACAAAGTGATAACGACTGATAAGAGCAGATAAGAGGCGCTGAAACAAATTTCACGAAATTCATAGTGCGCTTCGCAGCAGTCGTCAGGAGCTGATTTTGGGACATGATATAGGGGGTGGGACGGAAACATATTTGGTGGGGGTCAAAAAGTGATAACGACTGATGAGGACTGATAGTAACGATATGCGTACGAGCGTAGAGATCACTTGAAACCAGATTGTAGATAATGCATTTTATCTCTATGTCATTTCATTAGCGTTGTAGTTGTAAACTCAAACACCTTTCGACCGCTACACTTTCTAGATTTCTTGAGGATGAATGGGATGCTCGAATAAATACGATAATGAATACTGGGCATTCCGTTTTGAGATTACCAAAAATTATTCGACCGCTAATTACCTCGATACTCGATGCATGGTGGTTGTTTACATACATCACTTTAGCTGTGCACTTCACTGCGCTTATCAAACAGTGAGATACAGCCAAGATGAGCAACGGACAGTAATGCATTTAAGGAAGCAGCTATAGTTAAGCGGGGAATGAGACCCAACGATTGTAATTTCTATCAATTACGCGTCATGCGCGCGGTGCGGGGGGCCGGGAAGCCCTAAACCTTGGGTTTTTTGTTATTACTAAAATATTAGGTAATTAGAGATACGAAATGAAAGCGGAGATATTTCGGTTCGAAAACTTCAAGTTTTTATTATTTCGTAAACTTTCACCAATTCTCAAACAAGATTGCAACCCTTTCACCTCCGCTCCACTTATTCAACACATATACCTCCTCGCTCAACCCGAGTGCGACCCCACCTTCGTAAATTTAAAAAAAAACGAGCAGCGACCCCTGTTCGAATAGTGTCACGACAGTTGATCCTGTTCTTACGGTTCATTCTGGAGTCTTGAAAATTTATCAAGCAAAACAGTAGTGATGGGGATTCGATTTACGAAGACGTTTGAGTCTAATATGGATTGAGGTGGTGTAGTGGTAAGTAGCGCAGTTTCCCACGCACACGGTCCTGGGATCAAATTTGTTTTGAATCTCGCCCAGATCACCCACGAATTCCATCCCTCCGGGGATGGGCGCTAGTACTCGACTTGTATGGGAGGATAGACGTAATGATTAGTACATCGCTTAGCTACTGCAAATCATTGTATAGGCATTCGGCTTCAATCTCTCACTTTCTGAATGAAGTGGATGACGTGGCGCAGCGTAAAGTGAAAGTTTGGAACATTCTACTTTTTTTCTAATCGGACAAATGAGAAAAAATTACATGTAAGCGGCAGTTGCTCACATTTTGTTAGATTTGTTTTGAGGTGAGCCACTAACCAGGGACCGAGGAAAACCAATGGCCTGCCGCGAATTAGATCCAAAAATCAACAAAAATATTCCCGAAAAAAAAACAATAACGTAGGCAATATAAAAATAAGTCAACAATCAACGTAAACAAAATTGAATAAGAAGTACGAGCTGAATTTCAGAAATTGCTTACGTCATCGCTTTTCTCCAAAACACTCGTGGCATGGGAAATCCGACAGCGACGCACACGTGAGATTCACGCTTCCGCCGGCGCCGACCCGATAGATTCGTTCGAGTTTGTAGGAGAAATACGGTGGCACGCGACGAACTGAAAAGTCAATTTTCACTTTATTTTGAATAACCCGATAACATATCTCCCAAGTTCTGGCATCCTAGGTCCCGATCACCCTTTGGAAGCAAACAATTCTGTTTGAGTGTTCTTCTCGACAGCGACGATGCACGGCAGCGTATGCAAGTAAATGCCTGACAAACTTTAAACAACTGCCACATCGCAGGTCCATACCATCATTACGCGATTACCAGTAAATCATCTAAAATAAGCGCAGCCCGATGGTGTTTTATGGACGACGACGAGAATTAGAATGGACAATCTGGCAGCGTCGAGACCAAAAGACGTTCAATGGAGCACGAATGTGACATCTGCCTTGAAATGAGCGTGGCAGTATCAACGGGAATGAATAGGCCTATATGATGATGCATTCGCAACGCTGGCTCGTTTGCATCATTCGAATTTGCCGGAAAGGATGTATGAAGTCTTCAGGTGGCTAGAAACGCGGGTATATGTGATCAAATTGCGAATGGTCAATGAGGGAAAGTTGAGGAGCGTGTGAACTCGAAGAAGATACACAAATGTCTTCAAAACGCACTGAACACACTGTTTTCAGTCAAGCAATTATAGTTGTAGCAGGTGTTAAAAGCCTATTTACAGTTCGTCAGCTTGGTAATCAGACCGAGGCCAATCAATAGGTAAAAACGGCTGGAAAGTGGTCCTAGAGCTTACAATTGGCCACTTTTGAGTTGAATTCAGTAACTTCTACCTAGAGATTGAAGCTGACGAGAAACGGTTATTTTGATGCCTACGCCCACGTGTTGAGCGTGATAAGGAGGACCTTTGAACGTCTGTGAAATTTTTAGCAAACTAAAAATTCATGGCTTATCCTGAGAAATCGAAATAAAGCGCCATGCTAGGGAACATTTGTGGGTCTGTTGAAAGTAGGACACGGGAGCGAATTCTCTCTTTGATTAGTTTTCCAGGTGAAACTCCAGTTCAGGAAGGGGGGCACCCAATTAGCTCTCCAATACCAAGGATAAGGATAAGAGTTGTCATGACACGTAATCGATTCATTTAAAATTACTTCTGATAAGGACCGGTCTAGTGTAGAAGAACTCTTAAGGTGCTTTCAGATTTCGGCCTGCTGCCCCCCCCCCCCCCTCCAAGGAAATAGTCCTAAACTCAGGTATGGACATCCTTTCCTAAGCGCAACCCAGGGTGCCACAAATTGCCTAGGATGTGAGTGGGATGTGTGTGATGTAGGGCTATACCGATCCTAATCGAGAATGTACCCGGAATGAGTCGTTTATTTTTCATTTTATATAGTTGAAGTCCAAAGGAATGCTTTCAAGTTCTATGCATCAGATTACAGGGAATGCCCCCCCCCCGAACTGAAGTTTTACCATTTTCCAAGATTACGCCATATATTCGGAAGTATCTGAGAGCACGGAGGCTTGAAGGTGGTACGCTGGTAGAGTTTGTTAGTAGAAATCAGCAAAGCACATGCTTTGTCAGCACCGATCAAGCTTACTCAGGGATATGAAAGGGATATTTTGCTACGCCACAAGAACTCGAACCCACGGGCTCACTGAGTGCTAACTGGCGCCTTTAGCCTGTTAGCTACATTGCCTTAGTCGTAGTTGAAGGGGTATGAAGGTGAGCTCTATTGAAAAGGTACTGCCGCCGAATAATTGCGACTCGAAAATAAATAAAAGGAATTTTCTCAGCAAACAAAACACCGAGCACCTTTAACGGTAGAGAATTGCGGGTCTGCGCGAGATTCGATCTCGAATCAAATGCATAAATCAACTAGTTGTGGGAACAGCCTGGTATGCCATTTCTTCTTTTCTTATATTGAGCATTGGTGATAGCTTATACATAGCCATCACCACTCATTTATCCCCGTGCCTATATCTTTTTTTTTCTTTTTTTTTTTTTTTTTTTTTTTTTTTCTTTCTTTTTATTTTCCCAATGTTGTGATGCAGTTAATAAAAATCGATGGATGAAACAAGCCAATATGACAAGTGGGTTTATGGCAGGTTTTGTAGTTAAGCATTAATGGTCCTGGCGTGGCAATCGCCACCATTCAAATTTAAAAGAATTTGCAAGTAATCGGTGTAACATTCAAATTTCTCTACCCACTGCTAGAGGTCACTTCAGATGACATTCCCCTTCCTAATTTTGCTTTCAACCCGCATTTTATTGCTGATAGCATTACAAGTATCTGTGTACAAATGCAACAATGAATGTTCGGCTGTATGTACCCGCATTGCTAGGTAAGGAGTCAAACCATTTTTTAAATAGCTGAAAATTTCATTATGCTTATCAAAAAGTTAGCAGCCGTACTTTCACAAGAATGCTGGGTTGTGAGACAAAAACTATTAATGTCTTGTGACTAATTCTATGCTATTAGTCTCCATTTGTCTATTCTAATTCGAAAAGAATATTAGGATACTAAGTCTATGAAAAAGCATGCGCAAGCGCGAACCTGGCGGGCCAAAAACAGCAGTCAACAAACAAAAACAAGTTAGACGTAGTGTTGTGGAAGATCGTAAGCTTTTTCGACATGACTAAACAACTTTAATTTTTTTTTCGGCAGCATAAGCTAAAAAAAAAAACTAAGAAGCTGCGTCAATTTTCAAAGCTTCCGAGTTTTAGCTCGGAGATCGAGAAATTTCCCGAATTCATTTATAGTGCTATTCGTTTGATCACACAGTGATAAACGAATAGCAAGAAAAAATTTATCCACGGAAAAACTCAGGGCTGAAAGGGTTAAGGTGATGAACCTTGAGCTCGAAATGATTGCCTGAAAAGTACTGTAGGGGGTCAGCACTCTAGTATTCACGAACAACGGTCGCTATTAGCGAAGAGAAACGGGCGAATGGAGTAACACATCTCAAAGTTGCACGATATCGATTTATTTAATATTTATATCGCTTACTATATTTTTACCCCAGATCTTTATACCTGTAATCTCATTCTTGATATATTTCCTGCACAACAAACAGCTCATATGTATTTCAGCCGCATAAGCAGCATTATGCTTACCGCTTTCGAATACAGAGAGCGTCGGGTGCGACATACATCCACAAGTAGGCAACGGACTCCACAAAAGGTAAATGTTTTCTGCCATGAAAGATGGTTAGCCTTATTGATCAGTTGTCACTAATTACAGCTATCATTTACCAAAAATCAGCTATCACTATGAACCACTACTAACCAGATTTACTTGAAGGCTGTCGTCACTTGTGGTGTATGGTCTGCACCCGACGCTCTTCTCATTTTTGAAAGGGAGGGTAATTGTGAGACGATAAATGGTCAACAAAATTTCAGCACCCATTAGTATGCTAGAACAGGAGCAGCTCATATTAATAGAAATCGACCAGTTGGAAGGAACTATACTATGAAGGGGGGGGGGGGGAGGGGTAGAAACCTTTCTTTTCATAGCCATATCAGGGCCCATTGAGGACATTATGTGGGCCAAGAACGCCTCCAAATGCAATAACCTTTACAAACCCATTAGAAGGTTTCACTAGAAACCTGAGAGTTCAATCAAACGTGTATGACACATTCCTCACTGATCGCAGGTCCTTACCTTGACAGGAGGGCTTGGAGCTGCGGCTGCGGTCTGTGCTTCCCTAGGAAATCGACGCTGGCCCTTCACCAAAATCTCCAACAGTCGCAATAACGAATTCGTACATCTGCAAATGGTTGATGATCCTCATTATTTCAGGCTTTTTGGGGAAGGCCAATAATCAAAGGAGCTAGAGCTACCTGGAACGGTTCCAAATGGTCGATGGTAGTGCTGGTCAATAGCGGATCCACTTTCCACTTCTTCAACGCGTTCGAATCGGCATACCTGTAGAAAGTAAATGTTCCATGTAAAATTTGAACCAACTTCGCAAACCACCTAGTAACGAAATGTGACCAAGAAACCTAAAGTCACAAATTTCATGGCAGTCACCACAACACTGCAAACGTACCCTGTGGAGAAGCCTCCAGTACGAGATTGGGACCTCAAAATTCCATGTTAGAAATCCACACACATTGAAAGTAACATTAGAAAGTAAAACGCATGCACACTGCAGAACAACTGAAGGCTTATAACGGATTTCATGCAATGGAAAGGAAAATTCGAGAGAGAACGTACTTTTGTCGGTACTTGATGACATACTCTATTGCCGGTTCAGCCAACGTTGGAGCCTCCCAGGTCAATGGTGACGCTGTCACTTGTGACCGAAGAGACTTTGAAGTTCCGAGGAGGTGGGGGAAGAGCTGAACAAGTTGTTGTTTCGGAAAACCCTTTCTAACTAATTGCTGTGGAATAAAAGAGAGGGAGACAACTTTTACTTTCGATAATGTCGTCGCTTCGATGTTTCCAAGTTTACTAACGGCGACACAGGTAAAATTCTCCGACTGTTCGATGTTTGTTAGTGTGAGCACGTTTTTCCCTATCGGTGCCATTGCTGGATCACTCAGTACAACTGAAAGAAGATAATGCACAATAGCGATCGAGAAGGGACTTTCTGTATTGGACTAATTGTTATTGTTAGGCCCTTTTAGAACTGCTTCTCACCAAATTTCACGAAACTGGCATTATACTTTGGAGCATTAGATGAATATGGCTTGCTTTCTTCAAATTTACCAGCAAATAATATTTTTCTCGCAATCTCTCCAAAACCCTTAAATAGTTTCCTTTTCAGCTGACATATCTTCTTGGTAGTCACTAGTTTTTAGCTTATCGTTCAGTGTTTTTCATATATTGGTACTCTTCCCGTGATTAGTGCTCAATTTGAGTGTCTGAATAAATAATAATAAATAATTAATTAAACAAATAAATAAATAAAAATATTACCCGTCATCTGTCTTTATGTGTATGATCCCAAGAAAAGTCAAGTATGGGCTGCGTAACCGCACGGAAAGCGATTGCCGTTTGCGAAGCAGAAGGAGCTAGTCTCATTGAGAGATTTAGTATGAAAATTTCGGATAAAGCAGGAAGAAGATTTTTAAGATCGCGAGAGAATTCGCATAAGTTCCTCTTCAGGTATCTTCTGTTAAAGCTTATTGTTGGAGTTGGGAAACGTGTGGTTGGCCATGGTAGGATTACCAGGCATGCCGAGATTCCAAAACGTGTGGTTGGCCATGGTAGGATTACCAGGCATGCCGAAGATTCCAAAAACTAACGACAATTAAGGCCCGAAGGGGAAGTGGTTCAAACGGGGACTCTCTCCATAGGAAAGGAGTCGTACTGAATCGAAATTCGTCCATGCATCGTTGGATTGATCTTGCGTGCTCTATAGGAATTTGTTGCTAGTCATATTAAGTTGATTCCCATGCAGGGTCAAGCGTCCCTTTCGCACTTTTCAGAAATTTTGCGACCCCCCCCCTTTTAGGGGTGTCTCGACGCCCCCCCCCCAAAATCAGCCTTAGTCCTTCATAGTATTCATTCTGAGACGAGTCGACACAGCCCAACTCCACTTCTCCTCAAATCGGTAGTGGAGCGGTCGGGGGGGAACTTGTGATATTAATTAATAAAATAATTAGCTAATTAAGATAATGAAACGGCAGATATTTCGAAATCCTTCAAGTTTTTACTAATTTCGTAAAACTTTCACCAAATTCATCAAAAAAAGAATGGCAAACCATATTTCACACCGCTCACACTTATTCAAACACCATTAACCTCGCTCAACCCCAGAGTGCGACCCCCCAACCTTCCCGAAACACGAACGCGAACCCCTCGTTCGAATAGTGCAAACGGACAGTTGATCCTGTTCTTACGGTTCATTCTGGAGTCTTGAAAATTTATCAAGCAAAACAGTAGTGATGGGGATTCCGATTTACGAAGACGTTTGAGTCTAATACGGATTGAGGTGGTGTAGTGGTAAGTAGCGCAGTTTCCCACGCACACGGGTTTTTTCCCACTGGGGAAAATTTAAAACTAGGGTTTGTTTGAATCTCGCCTAGATCACCCAAAAAATTCCAGCCCTTCCGAGGGATGGGCGCTAGTACTCGACTTGTATGGGAGGATAGACGTAATGATTAGTACATCGCTTAGCTTCTGCAAATCATTGTATAGGCCATATCGCATTCAAATCCTCTACTATTGTGAATAGAAGTGGATGGTGTGGCGCAGTCGTAGTGATTGGACAGCGTTGGAAACATCATTCTATTTTTTTTTCTAATCGGACAAATGAGAAAAAATTACATGTAAGCGGCAGTTGCTCAATTTTGTTTGGGTTTGTTTTGAGGTGAGCCACTAGCCAGGGACCGAGGAAAACCAATGGCCTGCCGCAAATTAGAGTCTCAAAAATCAACAAAAATATCCCGAAAAAAAAAGTTTCCGAATTACGTAGCAAATACAAAAAAATAGACAAACAAGAATCAACATAACTATAAAATTGAATAAGAAGTCGAACTGAATCACAAGAAAGTCTGCCTCCCGTCATC